TGCCCTTTATATCATTGCCCATCAAAATTTTAATTAAGGGTATTTTTAGTCCAATGAAAATTTCAGAAGCCACTATGCCCCATTCCTACTTTTCTAGATAGTATAGATATAGATTTTGTCTATGACCCATTTGAGGAACTATGACGTTACTGTTGGTAATTAATTAATAGGATCTCTTATCATTTGTTTAAATGGACTACTAGTTATGTCTTAATTCAATTGAGCATTAATTTAGTAATTCATTTATATATTATAATGAATAACTTATCAAATACAATAAACTATATACAAAGGTTAATATAAGATTAGGTTTCTAATTAATAATATTATAAAAATAAATAAATCAATGAATTTGATTGGCTCAATCCTAACTAAAATATTATACATATTGGATTATAAATATTAATTTAAAGTACCAATTCTCTTCAAATCTTTTATTGAATTAATCCATTATTCTTTATAATAGATTAGAAAAGTAATTTAATACAAAAATAAATATGATGATTAAGAATAGTAGAGCATTAACCTATATTGCATACTGCGATTGGGTCCATTTCAGTAGTTTGACAATCTTTGCCTGTGCTGGGTTGTTATACAAATATACAAAAGAAATTACAAAAAAAAAAAAATTGACCCGGTCTCTAATATTATATATAATAAAAATAAAAACGACAAAAAACGGTAAGAATATAAAAAATGGATTTAATATCTAACTTAAGACCTACTGCCCAGGTTAAATGATTTAGTGGTAACCTAAATGGAGCACTAGATATTGGCTGAATCAATATTGTTTTGTAAGTAAATGGTTAAGGACCAAAAAGACCCAAAGAACCAGACGAGGTGACAAATCTCCCAATCACACTTTTGGGGTTAACAATTAATGGATTGAAAACATTGATGCTTGGTTAATTAATTCGTTATAGTCTTAAGTTTATATTTTGATCTAACCCATAAATTTAGCCATATGGATGTATTTACAGGACAAAAGGGTTCGATTTTTTTTTTTTGAGCTATATCAAAATGAATAGGATATATATGCATCCTTCTTATTGATCTACTATTTAGATTCATACTAAGATTCCATTGGATGGCACAGCTCCCACATATATTATACCCTTATTGGTACGTTCAATTAATTTCTATGAAATGTTTAAATGTTTGATGGAGGCCCATCACAAGGCCCATCTCATCCCTAGGGGCGGCAGCTCCTAGGATAAGGATAAGTTAACTAAGATCCAAGAATTCAAGATAAGCAAGGGATCCAAGAATCCAAGATTAGCAAGATAATGCAAGACTCTTCCAAGATTATCAAGAAAGACTCTAAGAAGCATTAAGATTAGCAAAATAATCCAAGAATACCTACCAACTTGAAAAAGAAGGTACACGTTATACTTTGTTATCCATAGTAGAAAAAAATATTACAAATGTTCCAAAAACACATGAGAAGAATTTCCTTACTATCACCCATCATCATGCTGAATTTGTTAAAGAATGTAAAGATACTCGTGAAATACATTTGCTAGTAGTAAAAGGAGAAGATGTTAATGATGAAAGTAAAATCCCAGCAGAAGTACAGGGACTACTGGATGAATTCAATGATGTAGTTCCAGAGGAGTTACCAAATGAACTCCCTCCCATGAGAGAYATACARCACCATATTGATTTTGTTCCAGGTGCCAGTCTACCTAACCTCCCACATTACAGGATGAGTCCTAAGGAGAATGAAATCTTACGGGAAAATGTAGAAGAATTATTAAAAAAGGGACACATTCAAATCAGCATGAGTCCTTGCACAGTACCTGTCTTATTAACACCTAAAAATGATGGCAGTTGGAGAATGTGTGTCGACAGTAGAGCCATTAACACGATCACCATTGGGTACAAATTTCCTATTCCCAGGCTGGACGACATGCTGGACCAGCTTAATGGAGCTGTAGTTTTCTCAAAGATTGATCTCAGGAGTGGTTATCATCAGATCAGGATCCGTCCCCGGAGATGAATGGAAGACAACCTTCAAGACTAGAGATGGCTTGTTCGAGTGGTTAGTCATGCCCTTTGGACTAACCAACGCACCCAGTACTTTCATGAGGCTGATGAACCAGGTATTACGCCTCTTCATTGGTAAATTTGTGGTAGTCTATTTTGATGATATTTTGATATACAACAAATCTATCACTGAGCATGTGGGACATATTAGGGAGGTCCTGAAGACATTGAAGGAAAATAAATTATATGCTAATTTGAAGAAATGCATCTTCATGAATGATAATTTATTATTCCTGTGATTTATCATAAGCAATGATGGTGTGAAAGTAGATGAAGAAAAAGTGAAAGCCATTAGGGAGTGGCCGACCCCGTCCACTGTCGCAGATGTCAAGCGATTTCATGGGTTAGCAACCTTCTATAGGCGCTTTATTAAGAATTTTAATAGTATCATGGCTCCTATTACTGAATATTTGAAAAAGGGTAAATTTCAATGGGGAGAAGAACAAGAGCAAAGTTTTGCTCTCATAAAAGAAAAATTATGTTTAGCTCCTGTTCTTGCCTTGCTAGATTTTAATAAACTATTTGAAGTTGAATGTGATGCTAGTGGAGTTGGCATAGGGGCTGTATTGTCCCAAGAAAAGAGGCCCATTGCTTTTTCAGTGAAAAATTATGTGAAGCCAGAAGAAAGTGGTCCACCTATGACAGAATTTTATGCTGTGATTAGAGCCCTGAAAACTTGGGAACACTATTTAATTGCAAAAGAATTTGTTCTCTACACTGACCAYCRGRCCCTAAAATATCTTAGTGGGCAAAAGCAATTAAGAAGTGATTTGCATGCTAGATGGTCTGCCTTCCTAGACAAGTTCCCATATAAAATTGTGTACAAGGCAAGACAGCAAAATAAAGTGGCTGATGCACTTAGCAGGCGTGTAGCTCTCATCAAGACCCTCAGTGTTGAGATTGTGGGTTTTGAGTGCTTGAAAGACTTATATGCCCAGGATGAAGACTTCCAACAGGTATGGGAGAAATGTGTGAATAAGCAGCCAGCAGAGGGCTTTTTTATTTATGATGGGTTCTTTATGAAAGGAGAAAAATTGTGTATCCCTTGCACCTCCCTCCGCGAAAAGATCATCAAGGATTTGCATGGGGGTGGATTAGTAGGACACTTGGGAATGGATAAAACAATAGAAGCAGTAAGGGGGCGATATTACTGGCCGAAATTAAGAAGGGACGTGTCTACCATTGTAAGCAGGTGCTATGTTTGTCAGACAGCTAAGGGACAAACCCAGAACACAGGTCTCTACATGCCCCTACCCGTTCCTACTGCTATATGGGAA